ATAATATTTTCGCTCAACTTTGTTGTAGTCATTACTTATACGGTTGAAGTAATAACACTTCCGAAAAATGTAAAGTTTAAAAATGTAATCAGCTATTATAAAATAAACAATTCTGTCAATATGCTGCGTTTAATAATTTAATATAATAAAATTTTATATAAATTTGTTAATATAATATTATTATATATAATTCTGTAATAAAGTAAAAATTAGTTATTTATTATAAATATGCTTTATGCAAACATACTATAATGTTTATATTTATTTATTATATATTTTTTGATATTATAACTTTAAACTGTATCTTATCTCATTCGTGACGTTAACTGTACTTTATAAGTATTTTCAGTTTATACAGTATAATTTAATATATATAGAGTATGTATTTAATTAAATGTACTGTACTTTATAAAGTTTGATCAATAAAAATAAATAAATATGTATACTTCAATGTTTTCATTTCATATAAAATTTTTACTATCATAGGTATTTACGAAAATACGTTTAATGGTAAAATGTATTTTTCTTTTTACCTTATATGACAACTTGTATAAGTAGAAACACGTATTACCTTTCAGTTTTCAGACTTCATTCAGAAATAACACCGAAAAAATACATAAGACGAGCGTGACATTGTTGAATAGAAATCAATTTTCATCACTTTGCATTTTCTTTTACATTTTACTTCTCTTTTCAGGAACATATAAAGGTCATTCGCAATATCAATTAAAAATCTACGCAAATGTCAGTTAAAAACACAATATTTTAATAAAGTTGGAATCTATGCAATAATAATTCGAAGCGTTTACGTTGTATAACTTCCCGGTAGAACAGATTTCTCTGACTGTTATTTATGTAACTGAAGAAACTAATCGTTAATCATACAGGGATATCACAGTAGTATCGCTAAAGAAAAAGATAAAAGTTGCGGTTGATATCGATATCTCTTTTGCAGAAAAATCCCTGAAAAATCTGCTAATTAACGAGTGAAATCTTTGTTAAGTCGACCCTATACCACAACCGTCACTATCTCCCTACCTTCTCGATTTTTAATCATTAAAAATTAACAGCGTCAATCCTGCCGATAAAATAAATCTCAATGCATAATTTCAATAATTTTCCAGATAATTCGCAGGAGTTATTAAGCTTCAAACAGGTTAAACAAAATCAGTCTTATAGAAATCCACACATACAGATATAATCTATCAGACATTTTTGGTTTTCTCGATTTTTAAAAGTGTCCTCCCTTCAAAAATGTAAAACTATTGCGAGATCATTTTTAGACCGATCGCCATACTTTCTTCTGTTATATATAATTACAAGGAAAGTAATAATTATAGCAAAACTTGGCTAAATTAAATATAAGATAACAAATTCTGTTAATAGCCATGACAGTAATCTTATAACAACAATTCGGTATTATATGTTTAAAGAAGAGAAAGAAAAAACGTGGACAACTGTGGTGTTTGTTTCGAGAATCCTTGGAGAAAGTATACGAAAAAAAAAAGTTTAATTAACGTACTTTTGCAGATAAACTGACATTTGTTACTTTGCGGAGTTTAGGGTCGTATGATGAGATGACCAAAGATTTAATATCGATAATAAATTTAAAACATACTATATCAATACTGCAAGAGAAGATTTTGAAAAATGTTTATATTGATAGAAACGTATGCCGTCGACCATCCACACGCTTCTCGTCCGTAAACAAGAAGTGGTGGCTAAATCATTGTTACCTATTAAAAGATAAGTAGAAGAGAATCGATAAGCCAAAATATAGACCTCAAATTACACAGGAAAACTTATCGAGCAGAGGTAACTTTACGAAAATTAACGATTTCATTTAAAATAATTATTTTTTTCACGCTCTATAATCACAAGTTATAAAACGCATCACACGAAAAAGTAAATAAGTTTTCAAATAAACTTTTACAGTTGATTTTTCTGGCAAAAGAAGCTTGCATGTAATAAATCTTTCACTTCTTTCCTTTGTTTTTCTTTATTTCCACTATTAATTTAAAAAAATGCAGATAACAAAAATTGTTAAGTAAGTCCTCAAGTTTATTACGAACAAATTCAATCTATTTTTACCACTTATGTACCTTAGATTAATTTCTACCAGCTGATCAAGGTTATAGCCCCATCGTGTAGTAAATCGAAAGCCAAGGCTTTCAAATCGCCAATACAAAATTCGTTTCACTTTCAATATCGCCCGAACCAATTTTCATGAAAAATTTTTACTTGTTTTTTACCGTTCATATCGAAATACCAAAGCGAAAATCTAAGAAATAATTGAAATGAAAGAATTTTTTCTTGCCGCATCGTTTCTACATTTCAACTTTTTCTATAAACAATGTCCGAAGTCAGACAGTACAAGGTCTTAAAAATACAAGGAAAATACATTCTCGTTCTAACAACAAACTTTTAAAAATTTCTTTAGGTTAATTTTTAACTTTGACATGTAATGGAATAAAACATTAAATTTCGAAACAGATTCAAAATATCGTTTCATAAAAATAGTACGAAGAATATTTTTATTCTGTATTTTCATAGAAAACAAATGTTACAATTTCGATAAAATAAAAACACTTTATTACAATTCCAAAAGTTCTTTATCACAATAACATTAATAATACAGTATGTTATTATGTTAAGTTTAAAATCAAACAACTTAAATAAAGTTTGAAGAAAAAGAAAAAAATGAATAAACTGTAATCTTCCAAATTAAATCATTCCTTACAAATTTAAAACTTTTAACTATATTTACGTTAATTAATATTCTCTCTGCCACGCCGTTTCATGTGAGAATTTAAATTACATTTGACAGAGAACTTTCGTAAACAATAATCGCACTCAAACGGCTTTTCTCCCGTGTGGATGCGTAGATGTTTTACAAGATTTTCTCTTAGTGTAAAGCTTCGTTGGCAATGATCGCATGTAAAAGGCTTCTCTCCGGTATGAATTTTCTGGTGCGTTTGTAGATGAGCACTTTAAATGAATTTTTTTCCACATAACTGGCAACTGAACGGCCTTTCTCCCGTATGAATCATCTTATGACGTTGCAAGTGGTCCTTCCGAGGGAACCACCGTGATCCCTCGGAAGGACCACTTGCAACGTCATAAGATGATCCTTTGCCACAATTACCACACACAAACTTTCTCTTCTTCGTATTGGCGAAATCTAGGAAACAAAAAATGTTAAACTTCAATTTTCAAAAGTAATCGATCGTATTAATTACTGCAACAAATGCAGAAGTAAACATTTAACAGTATCTTAACAAATAGCACTAAATTTAATCAAACATAAAAAATATTTGTGACGAAAAACTCCACGTTTGCATTTAAAAAAAAAATAGAAAACAAGTGTTTATAACAGTGATTCGCAGCGCATTGACAAAAAATGTTCAATGTTAATTCATCGACACAAATTTCCAGTAAATCTGGAGACAGGTAAGTCGTTTTCATTTGAAGTCCATTTTCTCAGAAGTAAACATTCACTTCCTTCTTCCATTCACTTTTCCCGGAAATTCTTCAGGAGAGATATTGAGTGCTCGGAAGAAACATCTTAAAGAAAAAATGTAGAAATTAAACAATAATTATAAAATAATTCACTAAAATTTTACTTTCAAATTAAAAGAATATTTGAAAAACTTTTAAATTATTAAACAAGAATAAATTTAAATATACAAACGATGTTTTGAAATACTTAAGACGAGCGTTGAAAAATCTGAAAATAAATAAGATTCAATTATTAACGCTTTGATTGATTAGTGAAAATGAAGTGATTTCATCCATTGAGGATTTTCATTATGTTGATACCAAGAGAAATTTCTTTGATTGAAAAGGCACATTTGATCCTACGATTAAGACAAAAAATAAATCAGTTTAGTGATGGAATTAAGACGAGGTTATAGAAAGATGTAAATTATACTTTAATTTAAATTCAGTAAATTTCAATAAATTTAGTGAATTTATTAATCTATTTACTAGATTATCAAACGAGATGAAAAACGTAATTATTAATCGTACGTTAATTGAAATAAACAAATTTTTTACATAAAAAAACCCACGTGGAATGTTCCTGTCGTTCCTTGAATTCAATGTCGTTGTTGTTATCATTTTCGCTTCTTCCAATAAAATTTCTTAATTCTCAAATGACCGNCTTTCAAATTAAAAGAATATTTGAAAAACTTTTAAATTATTAAACAGGAATAAATTTAAATATACAAACGATATTTTGAACTACTTAAGACGAGCGTTGAAAAACCTGAAAAATAAATGAAATTCAATTATTAACGCTTTCATTGATTAGTCAAAATGAAGCGATTCCATCCATTAAGTATTTTTGTTATGTTAATACCAAGAGAAATTTCTTTGATCGAAAAGGCACATTTGATTCTACGATTTAGACAAAAAATAAATCAGTTTAGTGATAAAGTTAAGACAAGGTTACAGGAAAATGTAAACTATATTTTAATCTAAAATTTAAATTCAGTAAATTTAGTGAATTTATTAATCTATTTACGAGATTACCGAACGAAATAAAAAACGTAATTATTAATCGTACGTTAATTGAAATAAACAAATTTTTTACATAAAAAAACCCACGTGGAATGTTCCTGTCGTTCCTTGAATTCAATGTCGTTGTTGTTATCATTTTCGCTTCTTCCAATAAAATTTCTTAATTCTCAAATGACCGAGGTCGACGTTTATACCATATTATAACTAAAATCCAATTCTCCCCTGAAATAAAAGTAGTAAGACTTTACTCACCAATTGCCCTTTACAAATTTAAAAATAACAGTGGCGCCACGTAATATTTAAAAATTAATCTCGTAAACATCGACATCACCTCATCAATTTTATCTTTTTAACATACGTTTGCATTTAAATTTATTATCAGTAACAATGCAAACATTTATTTATTGTTTATTAAAACTTTAATTATTTGTCACCTCTCAACAATTACCGGTGTCATTTTAAATTATGTAAATTAATGTACAGTACGTTTCTAGTTTCTGACAGTTTTACTATTTAATTTCATTTTGTTAAATCCGGAATTTTTACCGAATAGAGCTGTACGAATCAGCTGTCATAAAGTGAAAAATAATGTTTCCTAATCAATAATAAAGTTTGTATTAGTTAATATCCTTTAAAATTTATTATTATGCGACAAAAAATACAAAAATTAACTTACAATACAATTTAATAAGGGGAAACTAAATCATAATGTACGTGATCTTTTAGCTTATGTCCAGTGTGGTTTCTTAATACAGTACACTCCCCTATAAAACGGGTTCCGATAGTTACGATTCCTATAAGACGGGGAAAAAATTGCAACGGTATCCGTAAAAAACGGTAAAAACTCTTATAATTACGTAAAACGTCATCTGGCAGTCGAACTACTTTCCGCTGTCCAGCGCCACGCTAGGAAGAGATTACTATCGTCTGTACAGTATTATACATAAATTATATATGAATTAGGTACTGTATAATTATATATTAACTTAACTTATTGTAACTTTATTATAATTATATATATTTTTTCCTCCGCGTAGCGCCACGCTACGGAGAGTNCTGTTTTCATTTACAGATGGTGAGTGCTTTATACTCCGTTTTCTCATCGGTGGTGCAAGTAACTGGAGTGTTCAGCAAACAGAAATCATGTAATATAGCCTTTCCTCCCAACAATTCCGCATCTAATAGCATTAAATCTGTGTTTTAACGGTTTATCCATTATACGCTACTTCATGTTCGTGTAACTATCTAGTACCGTGTTTCTTAACCTGTGGTCCGTTGACCACTGGTGGTCCCTGAAAGCACCCGAAGTGGTTCGTGAAGTTATCCTAAAATTATTAAATAAATGACGACGAGTTAATGACAACACGCGTTACGTCAAGGTTAGAGCCGATAGCGGAGTGGGCTGGGGTATGGTGTGCGATCAGGAGATATGGAATTTGAAGGCACTAGCAATAAATTTGCATTTGAAAATAAAATCAGTGCGTTTATCGCTAAAATCGACCTATGGATCAGCAAAGTCGAAAAAGAAAAAATTTTTCTGCGTTTGATACATTGAATGCTATTATTGATTGACAGTGTGCTGAGATTAAAGTAGAAATACAAAAGAACATTACATTCCATTTGCAAAGCTTGAAAAATGAATTTAATCGCTATTTTCCTGACTGCAACAACAAAGGTATTCGGAAACTGATTTGCAATCCTTTCATAGTCAACATTTCTGAGGCGCTGTATTAAATACAAGAGTAGTTAATTAAAATGCAACATGATAGTAACTGCAAGGATACATTCGAGACAGGAATTAATCTTAAAGATTGTTGGAGCCAAAAAGCTATTGCTTTCCCTAAAATTCGAGAAATTGGTTTACAGTACCTAACTTTATTCTCAACCACATATTTATGCGAGCAAAGATTCTCAGTGCTTTTTTTAATTAAAAATAAACATCGAAGTTGGTTGGATTCCAGTGCCGACATGCATTTGTTTTGAGTAGCACTGAACCAAGAATTCAGCTGTTGAACCAAGAATTTAGTAGGTAAATAGTATGCAGTCACAAAATTCGCACTAAAATAATATAATTAATGTAACACTTTCACAAATAATATAATACTCTTGGTTCCGAGTAATTTTCTACGTGTTTAATATATAGAACAATCTTATATGAACCTATATTACTGCCAAACAGCTCGTGGTCCATGGCAAGACAAAAATTTTGATAAATGGTCCCTCATTACTAAAAGGTTAAGAACCACTGATCTAGTAGAAGTGAAGAAATATTTTAATGAAAATACAATTAAAGTACTAAATCATTATTTAAAGAAAATCGCACATTATCTACTAGCATAATAAGTAAAATTATATAAATATTTCAGCGTGAACATCGTGGGAGAGACACAACTGAAACTCGTTGTGTCATGTTTTGGGTCATTTTTAATTCGGTAATTCGGATAAAGTAAATCATTACCAGTAATGCTGTTTAGAAAACCTTCACATATTAGATATGCTTACATGTAGAGTACCTCGTTTTCGCTCTATAATAAAATAAACACATTTTAAAAGGCGAAGCACGTCTATTCATTCTGTGAAATCAAATCACATGATAAATTTACAATACTATTTGAGTTCAAATTTCAATTTACCCTGATTTACAATTTTCAATTCGCTAATCGGTTATCGCTATTGATTAATACTTTTAACAGTTTCAAAATTTCAATTTTGAATTTAACAATGTAATAAATATCATAAATGTAATTAAGTTTTAATACAAGTATTTACAAACAACTAAAACTATTTTGTTCTATTGTCTTATGAATAAAAAAATTTGAACAACTGAGTATTGTGTTAACTATTTATCTAATGGTAAGGTTGAATAAATGTTAATGTTAACTATTCTAATTTGAAAATTTTTTAATATAATTATTTCTGTATTTCTTAAAGATTATAAATGTTGAAGAAATACACAAATAAGAATACACTTACATAAGAAACATAATATGATTTATATATTCAGCAATTCCGAATCTCAAATTATATAAATAACATTATTTAATTCAAAGTTTATTATACTTTTTGTATTGAATAATATAAGGTGTTTTTGTTTTCTTCTTACAAAATCATAATACGAAAAAAGGAGGCTTTCTAGGAAGACTTTTATTAATTAAACTTTATAAGGTCAGTGCATAGACACCATCAAGCAATCGTGGGCTGAAAAAGCACTCCACGGCAGGCGTCCTTATCACCTCACCCAGAATTTTGTTGACAAAACTGCGTCAAACAGCTGGTTAGCTCGGGGATGCCTCTTTGGGGAAACGGAAGGATTCATCATTAACATAAAGGATCAGGTTATAAATACTAAAAACTACAGAAAACACATACTCAAAGATACAACAATGACAGATGCAGAAAACGTTACCTCATGCCAGAAACAATACAACGCATCACTTCTGGTTGAGAGCTCTTGGCACAGACAGATTATTTACAAAAAGATAATCAAGCAGCAAATATAATACACCAAGAAATTGCAAACAAACACAAATTGGTAGTCATCCACGACCCAAATTACAAATACATTCCACAGACAGTATTATAAAACAACCCGCATAAAATGTACTACAACAGATCAATAATCACAGATAAAACAATTTACGACAACAGACCAGACATGTGTGATGTCTGGTCTGTTGTCGTAAATTGTCTGGTCTGTTGTCGTAAATTGTCTGGTCTGTTGTCGTAAATTGTCTGGTCTGTGGTCGTAAATTGTTGTGACAACAGACCAGACATGTGTGATGTCTGGTCTGTTGTGGTAAATTGTTTTACC